GTGGCTGTCCCGGGCCGCGCTCTGGGCCCTAATCTGCTCCAGCTGGCGATCCCGCGCAGGCTCCCACCGCGTGGCCGAATTGCTCGGGAAAGAGCCCTAGCAAGAAGGCTGGCCGGAAACGCCCCACTCTGAGGGCATGCCCGAGGCTAAGTGCAGAAAGAAGAGGGGTCACCGAGCCGGCCTCTCTGAGTCTGCAGTCGGTGCGGAGCTGGACTGGTCCCCCACCCTCCGAGCTCTCAGTTCTCTCTGGACTTCTCCAAACATTCCCATAGTCCCCCTACCCGAGTGCGCTCTCTCTCTCGCTCTCTCTCTCTCTCTCTCCCTCCCTCTCTTTCCCTGCGCAAGGCCTAACCGGCCATTTCGTACCCCATCTCGGAATGCTTACAAGTACTTAGCATCTATACACAATCACCACTTCATCAGGCTGGGGCTTGCTAGCACTCATTTCTCTATCGTGTGTTTTGTGTATGTTTCGTCTACCTTAAGAGGACTGGAGGACGCCGCCTCTTGCATTTCTCGGGTAGCTAGGCACACATGAGGGAGTCCTTGAGACTGGCGAGTGGCTCGCGGGTTGCGCTGTGGGAGTTCAGTCCACAGGTCGCAGTGAGTGGCTCTCTTCCATCTCCGCAAGTGTATGAAACAGATGCCGCAGCAGCTTTAAATCCATGCTGGCTGCACTCCTGAATCGGTTCTATACTTTCTATCAAGTCTGTTGATAGTTAAGACAAATTCTAGGAATTATTTATTTATTTATTGCCAGCTGGCAAGATGCTACCCTATGCTTGGATTGAACAGGTGGTCTGTGGCAAGCCTTCCCGCCGCCCCCCCCCCATACACACGAAAAAATAAAATGCATACCGTGCCAACCTGCAATAGAAGAGGACCTTCAGTTGTGTGTGTGCTCAGCTACCAGCAACCCAGTGAAAGGAAAAGACGCCCCTCTCACCGCCCTCCACCATGCCTTTGGAAGTTATTTCTTGGGCATCTAGCGCCATCTAATGGAAAGAGTGAAAAAATGAGATCTGCCAGAACCCAGTATGTGAAGAGATACTGGCAGGCAAGCAAAGTATTTCTACTTTATAGCGGCTTTCCACCCACACAAACATACAGACACACACACATCATAGCACACTTTACAAGAGTTAATTTAAACCTCAATATCATCGCAAGATTTTGGCACAAATTTTCATGCCTAAGGTTCTCAATTTATCTAGGCTAGAACAAGGAATTGTCGTTTTTCAGCTCAGTGAAATGTTAACCACACAAACTGATGAAAGAGGTGGAGGTGGGAGCCTAGAGTGGATTGGCAATCCTAAAACTTACACCCGCCTTCTTAATATCCACCTAATATATCTGCTCACTTCACAAGAATGATCTGTGGATTGAAGACTGCCTTTAAACAAGCAAGATTCCTATCACAAAAAGGAAATTCTGAGTTAAGTCTTAAAGTGTCATGCCAAAATTCTGTGCCACTGCAGGGGCACACTTACAATAAAACACAAAGGAAACATCACTTTTTACTGAAAATATATTAAAGCTATGAACATAACAGACATTAAGTTATTAGATATCTTTAAAAATCCAGGGGGCGCCTGGGTGGCTCAGTTGGTTGGGCATCCAACTTCAGCTCAGGTCATGATCTTGCAGTCTGTGAGTTCGAGCTCCACATTGGGCTCTGCACTGACAGCTCAGAGTCCGGAGCCTGCTTCAGATTCTGTCTCCATCTTTCTCTGCCCCTCCCCTGATCTCACTGTGTGTGTGTGTCTCTCTCTCTCTCAAAAACAAAATAAAAACATTAAAAAAAATTTTTTTTTAATCCTGAAAGGAGGGGCACCTGGGTGGCTCAGTCGGTTAAGCGTCCAACTTCGGCTCAGGTCAGGATCTCATGGCTTGTGAGTTCGAGCCCCGCGTCGGGCTCTGTGCTGACAGCTCAGAGCCTGGAACCTGCTTCAGATTCTGTGTCTCCTGTTCTCTCTGCCCTTCCCCTGCTCACACTCTGTCTGTCTCTCTCTCAAAAATAAACATTAAAAAATTTATTTTAATCCTGAAAGCAGGGGTGACTAGAAGGCTCAGTTGAGAGAACCTGAGACTTTTGATGTCAGTCAAGTCCCACGTTGGACATAGAGATTACTTTTTAAAAAGGGAAAAATCCTGAAAGTCATATCTGAAATACCCATCAGTGGATCAAATTAGGCACCACTGAAATCACGTGAGACAGATAGATCCTACGTTCTGACATTTTCAAATGAACACTGAAGAGATGTAAAAGGACTACAAATAAGCATTTATATCCTATGGAAGCAAAGGTGTGGAGGTAGGTGAAGTGGGAATTCGGGGGATCACAAAGTTGGGAAAAGAGTGAAGTCATTATTAGCATACTTAACTTTGGTCCACTAGGTGCAAGTCTGATATAAAGAGGCAGCTTGTTCAGCCTTTTACTTTTATTATTTCACAGGAAAGCACTTTCCACTGGAGTATATCCAAACCAGCATCTGGCACCTGGGAAAGTGAGAGTTCGAGCATACTGCACATGAAATATAAATAAAATTTAGAGAATTGTTGGTGCAGCAGGCCTTGGTTAGAAGCCAAATATCACAGCTGCCTTTTAAAGGGGTGTGGAAAGAGGGGATTTGCAATGGAAATGATTCCAAAATCATAATTCTAGTGGGTGTTTGTTACAAGAAGAAGCCCAAGGAGACTCATTTGGCTTCCTGTAAAGAATAGCCAACATCCTTTGACTTGTGAAAAGCACTCTCTCTGCTTATGCAGTTCAAGAGACCCACTTAAAGATAATGTCCCTACTGGTACTTAGCTAGTCATATTATATGAGTTGACTGGCTATTCTGAAAATTATTATTGTATTAAAATATGTATTAGGGAACCACAACGTGCCTGCCTAACATTGTATGGAACATACACATTTACAGAATTTCCCTTTTGAGAAATTGCATTCTAAGGCACATGATGCCATACAAAACATGTACTGACATATATGTGTTATACACACACACACATCTATGTACACACATACATGTCACCTTTAAGATTCATCAAGACCACGTTCCTTGATCTTCGGGTCTAGTAGCATATGTGCACAAAGATGTATGTGGACAGATATTTACTGATCCACTGGTGAAATCAGAAAAAAAAAACTGGAAAACTGGAAAGAGCTTAACTGTGCAGCAACAAAAATGATTGAATCATAGCACATTCATTATTTGAACTACAATCTGGTCATTGAAAAGGATTAAGGAAAACTCAATGTATGCTGTATTAGTCCATATTCTCCAGAGAAATAGAACCAATATATACAGTGATTTATTATAAGGAATTGGTTCACATGATTAGGGAGGCCGAGAAGTCCATATCTGCACTCCGCAAGCTGAACCCAGGAGAGTTGATAGCAGAGTTCCAGTTTGACTCCAGAGGCCTGAGAACTAGGAGAGCTGAGGGTGTGAGTTCTAGTCTGAGCCCAAAGGTGGAGAAGACTTGTGTCCTAGCGTGAAGACAGGCAGAGAGAACAAATTCTCCCTTACCTCACTTTTTTATTCTGTTCAGGCCTTCATCCAATTAAACAAGACACACATGGGGGAGGACAATCTCCTGATTCGCATGTAAATCTCGTCCAGACACACCCTCACAGACACATCCATAATGGTGTTTAACCAAATATCTGGGTACCCGCATGCCAGTCAAGTTGATACATAAAATCAAACATCACAAGTCAACCCTTTGTCAACCTGGCACCCATAAGCGTCTCCTTAAACCATGCTTACTCTTCAAAGAAGACAATGACAAAATCATAATTCCACCTAACATGATACAAATATCCTGTGTATAAATAAAAACACACTAACCTCTTCCCCATAAGAGGTAAAGTTCTTGAGTGACGGACGTTTACTCCTCTCCTTATCTAGTAACTTGAATACAATAACTTTAAATTAACAATACTTAAATATATCTTTTTTTTTTTCAACGTTTATTTATTTTTGGGACAGAGAGAGACAGAGCATGAACGGGGGAGGGGCAGAGAGACAGGGAGACACAGAATCGGAAACAGGCTCCAGGCTCCGAGCCATCAGCCCAGAGCCCGACGCGGGGCTCGAACTCCCGGACCGCGAGATCGTGACCTGGCTGAAGTCGGACGCCTAACCGACTGCGCCACCCAGGCGCCCCTAAATATATCTTTTTTTAATGCTTATTTATTTTTGAAAGAGAGAGAGAGAGAGGGCATGAGCGGGGGAGGGGCAGAGAGAGGAGACACAGAACCTGAAGCAGGATCCAGGCCATGAGCTGTCACCACAGAGCCTGACGCAGGGCTCGAACTCATGGACCGTGAGATCATGACCTGAGCCGAAGTCGGACGCTCAACTGACTGAGCCACCCAGGCGCCCTAATACTTAAACACATCTTATGTTACATTATAAGTGAATAAGAGAGGTAATAAATAAAGATGTTTGTCAAACATATATGTATCCACACATATTTATAACAATATAAGACAATGACAATCAAGTGGACACATAAAATTAACCATCACATACACTAACATGAAATATCTCTAAAATGTAGCATGAGAGAAAGTAAGGTGCACACTAGGTAGGAAATATGAAGCTACCACCCACAGATTTTTAAGTGGAGAAAAATACACATATGCACACACAAATATGCTTACATGTGGATGAAATACATCTGGAAAGACATTTAAGAAATAGTAACAGGTTGCTTGGGGAAGGAAATTGAAGGACTGGAAATAGGTGTGAGAAAAATCCGGAGGGTTATTATTTTAAGCCCAAGAAAAAAACTTTTTAAATTTTCAAATAAGGACTTATTCAAAAGATAAGATACTAGGGCCACCTGGGTGGTTCAGTTGGTTAAGCATTCGACTTCAGCTCAGGTCATGATCTCACGGTTTGTGGGCTGAAGCCCTGCCTGGTGCTCTCTGCTGTCAGTGTAGAGAGCCTGCTTAGGATCTTCTGTCTCCCTCTCTCTCTGCTCCTCTCCCGGTCTCTCTCTCTTTCTCAAAAATAAAGAAAAAATTTTTAAAAAAAGATAAGACACTATAAGTGGAGAAAAAAAATATGAAAGTACATCAGGACAGGGGCGCCTGGGTGGCTTAGTTGGTTGGGTGGCCAACTCGACTTTGGCTCTGGTCAGGATCTCACAGTTCATGGGTTTGAGCCCCGCATCGGGCTCTGCACTGACAGCAAGGAGCCTGCATGGGATTTTCTCTCTCCCTTTCTCCCTGCTCCCTGCTCGTTCTCTCTCACTCTCTCTAAATAAATAAATAAACTTAAATACACACACACACACACACACACACACACACACACACACACACAAAGCACATGAGGACATCTCAGAATGAAAG